CAGTCGTCAGGCTGAGTCTTTTTTAATTATTTTTCTCATGGAGTGAGACTGAGTCCACTTGGTACTGCGGCCGCTGTTTGGCCAGGTGTACCAGCCCCAGATGATAGGTGATGATGAATTGGAGCAGTCGGTGGAATGAGAATTGGCAAGGGAAACCGAAATACTCCGAGAACACCTGCCCCAGTGCCACTTTGTCCACCACAGATCCCACATGACCTGACGTGGGCTCGAACCCAGACCGCCGCGGCCCTGGTATATCCTTCCATCTCGCGGTCGTTGCGTAGCAACTGCTCTACACGCTACAATGCTTTGTAGCGAAGACGGATTACGAGTGAGCATTTGTGTGTGCTCTTCGTGGGAGATGGCAGCGTCGGCCTCGTTATGTTTTTCGATAACGTGTAGTACTGGAAAGAAAGGAATACGGGAGAAAGCAGAGGAAGTTGTTAGTAGGAAAGCTTGTGTAACGAATTATAGGACTTGGCGTTGGATTCTGAACGAGTATTACGTTAGTATCTGTCCGCAAATAAGCAACGTATATCTTCAAGTGAGGTTGTTAGTACCGACGGGATTTAAGTCGGTTTAGAGGCGAGACGTGGTTTCACACCCGACTCTCTTTGTTCACTGTCTGCATGTGTGTCACTGGGTTTAGAACACACGAATTGTAGGCTCTTGTCCGTCTGTTGGTGCACGTATTTGTGTTCGGACGAATAGTAAACATATCGCGGGGGCTTTTCTGTCCGTCCGCTTGTTTCATTCGGTAGATTCCCATATTTGTTTTTATATCCGTTTTGATGCCAGACTTTCCGGAGTGGATTTGAAAGTCTCACGCCTGTGATTATACTGTCTTCTGGGTGTGACGCCGTGTAGTTTGGGAGACGTTCGCCGACGTTTATGAACTTACGACATCCATCTTCATGATCAAGGAATAAGCAAAACGAACACCCGCCAAGAAGCAAGCAACTCACACATTCTACCGTGAAAATGGAGGAAGTGGTTTACTCCGAAACGTTGTTACCTTGCTGGCAGATTACGTGACGTCATACTCCAGACGTAATCTTTATATTTGCCCATTTTCTCAACAAGAGTCGAAATCCGAGGCACTTTTATTTGGATAATCCATTCTGATTTAATTCTTTCGAGTTTTATTATGATTTCGTCATGTGCACTTCTGATCCGAAAGTCTTCTTACTTACTTAACCCGTTCCTCTCTTACCTTTACGGTATCGCGGTTGTTTCTTTTTCCATTTTGGTCATTTTGCAGACGGTAGCACTCCTTGGACGGGTGATCAGTTCGTCGCAAGGCCTCTACATAAACACAAGACAACACAAACAGAATGAACACACACCAAACATCTATGCTTTGTATGGGATTCGAACCCACGATCTCGGCTTCCGAGCGAGCGAAGGCAGCACATGCCGTAGACCGCTCGGCTCCCGTGACCGGACAGAATTCTTCTTTCTGCCGTATTATGTGCAGAGTTCTCAAGTACATCTTTTCTAAAGGCGCGTCCACATGACTCGCTATGCTCGCGAGTAATGTGGACGATATGAAAAGTCACGAGACAAGCAAATTATAAATTTTTCATTTAAAAACTGTAGCAAATAAAATACGACTACAGCCTATACACACTACGAGTAAATATACGGATCCTCACGCGCCGAAGCCTGGCGAGCAACTGAAGTAGTGTGAACGATGATTTACGAGCACAAGTTAAAGCCAGACGAGTCTCCCGACGAGCACAAGCCTGGAGAGCACGAGCACGAACACGAGTAATATGGACGCGCCTTTATGTATTTAATTTGAAGTCACGAATTCTGTTTCCCTTACAGCTTTGAGTATGGGTGAGTAAAGCATGTTCGAACGTGCCTGGCCATCAGATTGTGACGTAGAACATGTGATCACTATGAGAAAGTTACTAGCAACCAAACTCGCCACACCGGATATTGATTTTAACACGCAGGACTTTTCTTCCGTAAGATTGTGTACTGAAGGTGTGACGTGCCCACAAGTACGTTCCAAGCAAATGCGTTTCTCTCCACACTGCATGTAAACTGTACAAAGGCTGCGTCTACTTTCTTAACGCGACTTTTGTTGTAACATTTGTAAGCAAGGTAGTTCCCGCTGCTTTGGGAGCAGTCCCGTTACTTGCTAAATGAGGATACTGTATATTTTATTTTACTTTATTCAGTTTCAGTCTTATAATATACGTATCATTTTATGATAACTTTATGGTTTCTACATTACGAAATGTTTCGGCCACTATTTGTTGCCTAAAATAGTGGCCAAAATGTCGTGAATTTAGAAACTATATATTTATCATAGAATTATACATCTATATCGTGGGGCAGAAATTGAATAACACTCTGCACACAGTATGACTCCAAAATGAAACATTACTGAGAATACTAAATTTTCATTCGATTCGTTTTCTTTGTTGTTGATGAAGGAACCTGTAATGGCGCAAGGGTTATGTACAAGTAGATATGGTTTTGGGGGGTAAATTTGGAATAAGTGTATCTAGACTTTAAGATTAAGAAACAGAAATGATGAAACGTACCAGGAAGCTTGAGTTTGCGAAGAAGTGTAACAGGCAGTAGCTTAGTAATCAGAATGTTAGCGCGACAGCGTAATAACGCTGACATTGAGGTAGAAGCTATATGAAGTAGGTCATAAAAACTATGACATGAGGAAAACGCTGAGTCGGAGAGGGCGGTAGACCTGAAAGAGCCAACCCCCTTACGATAAACAGCCAATGAGTGGGCCACACCAACCCAAATTTACGTCAGGATGGGCGGGTGAATACACCCCCGGAACCCTACGAGTCAGCTNGAATTTATTTCTTTCGCTCGTTTGCACACACTTTACAATCATCACAACTTGCAGTGTTACAATATTCCGGCCGACACTGGACTCTCTTCTTAGACAGCTCGACGGAGACTTTCTTCTCCGAAGGCTCGGTCACGACTGACTCCTTCGAAGGCTGGATGACGACTGGCTCCTTAGACGGCTCGATGAAGACTGACTGTTTCTCGCTGAAGCTGGGCTATTTATCGCGGCGGTTGCTACACAGTGAGCCTTCTATTATAACCATGGAGACTCCTGTTAGAACTACAATGGAGCAATTGTTGTCTCCTCTGTAACGGTCTATTCTAGCGTTTCCATAGCAGTGACTCTTCTGGATTGCAAACACGTTACAATATTAAAGTGCAAACCCCAGGGAGAGAAAGTGAAAACTAGATGGACTAGGTTTACTGAGAGAGATAGATTGAGGTATTGGGTACCCATCAGCAGGGTGCCAGGAGATAGAACTAATGTGTGTACTACAGGGTCATAACCAAATGTAATGCGAACCGACAAACGTCGGCAAAGTGTGTATATATTATGTATATAGCGACAGAGTTGAATAGAGTAGGATAGAAATGCGCTGTGATATTAATTAAACCTAGCATTTCCTCAAGTGTTACCCTCTTCCCTGACGACTCCAGCACCTCCCGAAGCTTCGGCGAATTGCGAGTTAAAGCCAGGACCAGTGACGTCAGCGATCGATAAGTTCGCTTGAGTTTTCTTGACAGAACAAGATGATGGCAGCATACTAAACCGGGTGACAGAACGGGATACCTCCACACCCCCTGTCACCACGGCGTAACATTGGTGACAGCGGTGAGACAACCAATCCACCACTGTCGCAGGGGCGCAACAGTGGGGGCAGCGGTGGGATACCTCTACGCCCCCTTCCACCACGGCATAAAAGAACCCAATGTTCGAGTGCTATTGCTGGAAGTATACGTGTATTGACTGCTGGATTTGACGTTCTCACACAGTGATTATGAAAAGTACTCTCTTCCGTGATGTTACACCGTGTAGTTGAGCGAAAGTCAACCGACATTTCGGAGGAACCTATCGTCCCATCTTCAGTTTCCGAAATGTCCGTTCGCTTCCATCGGGCTGCACAATGTTGTATTCCAGAAGATAAAACTTCAACGTGTAAATATTATAATTTTAGTGACTATAGACGGGGTTTCTTTCAGTAATTGGATGTATTGAACGCTTACAACTGGTAACTACAGGTGAGGATTGTACTGTCATTGTTACACACTTCACAAGTCACTGTCGGAGACTGTTACAGTCTTCACTAGCCATTTCTTGGTAACGGCTTCCAAAGGCGGACGTTCCATTTCCCCTGGGTTTCCGCAGTTCCCGGCCTCAGCTACCAGCTTCTGAAAGCAGTAGCTCACTACATCTGAGCTCCAGCGCCTATCTATATAAGTCACTCCTCCTAACTTGTTTTGCTTGTAACATTTCGGCACGGGCTGCATAGAAAAATTTCTTCTATTATTGCTGTATTATCTTGTGGAAACACGCTTACTTATGGAATCGTTACTTAGCAGTGGCTGTTGTATAGTTCACTTGTTTCGAGGTCGTTGCCTAGTAACAGATCTACATGCCGTAATATGTTGAAGTAGGGTAATCACAGCCCTTCTGGGATGTAACTTCATGTAGTCAGAGATTTCCCTGCCGTTTCGGAGGAACGTACTGCTTCCGTCTTCAGGGTTGATGAGTAAGGCAAACAACTAGTAGGAAGCAAGCTGCACGCAGAGCGAGGCAGGACTACACGACGTTACATCACATAAGACAGCGTTCTTCAACATGTAAATGGTATTCTAGGTAGTAGGGTGCCAATATTCACTGCAGGATTGAGAGACATAGGAAGACCAAGACATAGATGACAGCATCGTTTTTAAAAAAGCTTTTGGGTGTCTGAACGGACTTGTAGCAACCAGTACGTGGGTTGCAAGCAGCAGGAGGAAGACGAGAGGAGAATGTTTAGGATCGCTAAACTGCCGCTGGCCCTCGGCAGCACAGCGATTCTTGGTTCCCGAGTCGCGCGGATCCATGACCATATTTCGCTCTCTGACTGCTCAGGGATCCATTAGACTCTTACTGTGTGACGGTGGCTCTCTCTAGAGTGCCATTGTTCTGATGAGACGCTGTGTTGCAGGTGAAGCCGTTACACGACGCCTACCAGGCGGCGCTCAACGCCCAGCTGACGGAAGCCATGAACGTATTCTGGGCCGAGTGCTACGAGAGCTCTAAGACCGCTGTGCACCGGCGCAACAGGGAGGTGGGCGAGAGTAAGCTGAGATTCCAGGTACTGTCACACAGTCCGTTCCCCGTGTTATATGTGAAGTTGCGTTCCTGCAGAAACTCTTCAGCCCACAGTTGTTAAAAAAACAGACCTTCCGTCGGGTGAGAAATAATATTAAACAGGCGCATCGCCCCTATTCGCGATTAAGTACGACGACATGAAAACGTACTGGGGGAGTGGAAATATAGCTCCACCATTCTCGACTTCGACTATAGATCGTCAGCTTCACGACCCGGGTGCGTTACCCCCGGTACCCACTGTATAGGAGGCTGGGCGGGCCCCAGAGTCGGTCTGGACGCTGTGAAGCAGAGAAAAATCTTGCCCCTTCCGTCAGGCCCGTAGCCCGTCGCTATATCGACAGAGCCACTATGACTCGTGGATGTCCGATAGGTGAATTGGAAAGGATTTGGAAGGAATCGATCTTCCCATAATCCAGGTAATATCCTCTTATTTGCCTGGGGGTACTGAGGTGAACCATGAAAACCCTCAGTCAGGATAGCCGATGTCCTGGCCTAGATTCGAATCTAGCGCTTCCTGAATACAGAGATTTCGGTGAAATTTCTGTTAAATAATCTGTAAATAAAGGAGTAAAGGAATAATACGAGCTGGACGTGGTACAGACCTAGTGGAATTGTTTCATTGCATGCGCTGTTACGGACGTCTAAGTGTGTTTGTAAGCCGCCATTGTTGCAAGAAGCGAATGTCATGGCGATTGCAGTATGGCATTCATTGTTTTTTAACCTCGTACACAGATGCCTGGGGGCAGCGGACCGTTTCTCTCAGAGACCACAGAAACAGATGCGAGATGGCACAGGAGATCCCAACGTAGACTTAGCCGTTTCCATGTTCTTTCGCAGTTAAAGAAACCCCCGTTGTTTTTGTTCATGCCTGTGGTACTACACGTGGTCCTCACCGGACACGATGTGGGCCGAAGAATTTTAGCGGCGTTGAACCTTCGGGTTGTGCTACCAGAGAGTCAGTTAATTAGTAAGATGGATCTTACGGAAACATGTTGTGAGGATGGGAGGTGGATGGAACTGGCTCAGGATCCTGTCCAGTCGTGGGCTTTGATATTAGCGGCGTTGAACCTTCGGGTTCTGCTACCAGAGAGTTAGTTAATTAGTAAGATGGATCTTAGGGAAACAGGCTGCGAGGATGGGAGGTGGATGGAACTGGCTCAGGATCATGTCCAGTGACTGGCTTTGGTATTTGCGATGTTGACCTTTCGATCTCGTTGGCTGATCTGTGTCCAACCGAAGTCATGTGGCCCATTTGCATGCGTCCGGCCTACTTGACTGCCGGTAACTGTTTCTCCGTGCGAGGCTGCTGTGTGAAGGCCCGTGAGATATGCAGAATCTCGAATAATCTCATTGAGTCGGCATCCACTTTCCACTCCAATGAGCTTTGTTCATACACAGTTTCTCATGTCAGTCGCAACGTTGATATTTTTGACGGCATGAAACGAAGAGGCGTGTCGGTAGATTGACCTCCTATATCATGACCTTCATACCGACTTAATGAAGGCCGTCTTAGGGCACCGCTATGATGATGATGATGATGATGATGATGCAAGCTGTGTAATTGTGCGGATGTGGGGGGGGGCAGTAGGCTGTGCGCAGAAATACAATAAATTGATAACTCTCAACAGGTACACGCATTTGCGCAGTGTTATTCCGTGTGGTTCGTAGCAGTTTCCCTGTTACTGCTACTGATCCGTTCAGAGATGGTTTTATAACGATGTTTCAGCTCCATGCCATAAATGTCGACTGATATGGCAAAATGGCACTAAATGTGACCCAGTTGGATGGGGCCAGAGCCTCGAATTATGTTAGGACCGCTTCCTTTTACGTCCTTTCCAATTCATTGTTCACTAATCCTGGCATTCTACTCTGTATCATCTGTGCTACCCACTTCATCGTGAAGCAAACAATAAATAAATAAATACATGACTGAAGAAAGGTGAAGCTATCCGTGTAACAGGTCATGGGGGCCCACAGGGTTGTGAGACGTCGAAGCTCCCACATTTTCTAGACAGTCGCCTCACAGATGTAGGCGAGGTTGTTAGTCTTACTCGCCGGCCGACCTTTACCCCCAGGAAAATCCCAGATATTTATTTCTGTTAGAGTCTGAGTCGAACCCAGGGCCATACTGCGGCTGGAAGGATTAGTTCAATTGAAAAATCCAGTGACCTCATTAGGAATCGAACCCGTCTCGTTCCGGCAAAATTAATTCTTTGCAGTAGTTAGGTATGTCAGAGGGCCCGGTTAACTCAGTCATTATACGGAGGGGTAACGGGCTTGATGACTGGGGTTCTATTCGCAGCAGGGGCAAGAGGTTTTTCTCTTCTCCATAACGGCCACACAGACCTTTGGGCGCATCCAGCCTCCTGCCCAGTGGGTACTGGAGGCTGTTTTCCTGAGGGTAAAGAGGTCGGGGCGTGAAGTTGGCCATCTACATCTAGTGTCGAATTTAAGAATGATGGAGCTATACCTCCATTCCCCTATGTGCCTTCATGGCTTATTGGTAAATTATTTAAGCATAAACAGCTTGTATGTTGACCTACAAGCGAAACGTGAGGAACTCATTCAAAATCTTTTACAAGGTTCCTTATTGCGTTCTTGCTCGACGTTTGTATATTCGACGCTTCAGGTCGTCGCAGTTACACGGTAGGCAGAGTTGTCTCCCGGACATGTTGACCTAGGTGACCACGGTTGTGGGTTCCACATTTAATTCACCTTCCAAGATTTGTGTGCATCCAGATAGAAGCACCTCACGTGGTCCCTTTTGTAACTTAAGTCATTTACCGACTTACGATAAGAATTGTGCTGAATAACTTCTGGGTTTTAATATACCTTTTTGTGCGACATTAGTCTCTTCGGAGTAGGACTGTAGAGCTTATTGCGATATAGCAAAAAAGGGGCGAGATTGAAGGCACGTCAGTCATTTAAACACGTTTAATTGGCAACACTATGAGGATGACTGTTTATTTTCATTGCCCCAAGTTCCGTTGCCAGTCCTAATTTTAGTTTCGAAATAGAAGAACATGGACATCAATATAACTTTCGAAGTACGCAAGTAAACCCAGATTCGTGGCAGCGAGACGGCGCGTGACTCCAGCGTGGCTGTTGGATGGATTCAAATGAAAGTAGCAATTAAACTCATCTCGATGAAAGTTGCTAACACACTTAACACTATAACGCACCTCACATTTGTTTTGTTCTAATTGTAGCTTGATGGTCTGTTTGTAATGAATCTGATTTAGTAACACCCAGCTGCAAGGAACCCCCTAAGCGATAGGACTACTATAACATAGAATTAAAAATCCGGAAATATATTCTTGAGATATTCAGATATAGTGGGGGAAAGTTTAAGTTCATGCAACCCTATGGAATTTCTTGACCAGCTGAACAACTGTTAGCATCTAAGCCAGTCTTTTGGCTCCATGGAGACAGTGAGATAAGGATTGAGCTGGTAGATTACTTTAGTTAGTGTATTTAATTTAATCTTGACAGCCGATTTATTAAAATTAGTTCCCGTTAGCACTTTTGAGCACATGAAAATATACGTATGTTTGGTATTATCGATTGTAGGAAAGCAGGGAACTAATGCTGGTCCCTTTGGCATGGCATGTACCCATTTTGAATATTCTTCTCATGAATTTGTAGGGTATCAGAGGGACTGACACAAAGACATTCATGCACTTCCCATTCATGGCATAGGGCTTAATCAATTAAGCACAGGGACAGCTTCACCCTTTTCCTTGTCAGTATCACTTATATAGCAACTAAAATTTTAAAGGGAGAACAACATCCAAATTAAGAAATTAAACTTTAGTCATGTAACTAAAAGAAGGTTTTTAGGTTGAGGATTCAGATCGCACCAAGAAACTGACCTAGAGCACTTGAACGTCGCTATAACAGCAGTGGTAAACGTACGCGCTGACCAGAGTAGGGAGAACATTTCGTAATATCTTTGCGTGTTCTCTGCAAGGTCCGCGGTAGGAAAGAGGAAACGCGGAAGTTACGTATTACTAAATAAATACGGCGGTAACATAGTTGGTTGAGGCACAATGCTACAAGTCGGAAAGTCACGGGTTCGATTCCCGATGAGGTAATTGGATTTTTTAATTGACCTAATCCTTCCAGCCGCACTTGGCTCTGGGGTCGACTCAGCCTCTAACAGAAATGAGTACCACTAATCTTCGTGGAGGTAAAGGGCCGCCGGCGCTTAAGACCGACAAACTTACCGCCATCTGTGAGCCGATTGTCTAGAGAAAATATGGGGGCCTCGACGTCTCACAATACTATGGGCCTTCAGGGCCTGTAACAGGGATAGATTTAACTTTTTATCTTATACGTATATTGGAGCGTGTACCGTTTAGTGATTGTAGTTTGTTAGATGTAAGAGGGTCAGGCACAATGATAACGCCGTTGCTTATAGACAACACACCACACCATCCTGTCGGAGAAGTTGCCAAATGAGCACGGCTGTTCGTGTCATTCCAGTGTATTTATATTGAGGCAATTCGAACCTCAGGCTCAGCGAGGTACAGGAAATGCAGAATATCACATACCGATGACCTGTATTGTTCATTATTAGTAATTAATCTTGTGCCACATGCGGAAGCATTGTGTTGTCGGGGTTTGCGACTTGCAGCATTCAGGAGAGAGGCGAGATGCATACATGAGCTGATGAGACCACGTTTATGACCTAGATATAGAAGGAAGGGCGATATTAAACGGATTTTAAGGAGGCAGTGTGTTAAGATGTGGAGAAAATTCAGTTAGCACAGAGCTGGAACAAGTTATGGTTTTATGAGAACGCAGCAATGAACCTTTAGGTTTCACAGAATCGTGGAACTTGCTGTCCAGCAGAGTTCTTATGGGCTCCTCAAGAAGGACTCTGCCCCATGGAATTAAGCAATTTACATAATCTTGCAGTTTTGAGAATGTCAGTATTAACATAGTGTCTTTCATTCGTGACACATGAATAAAACCATCTGATACAACTAAACTTGTGTCAATTTGACGACTGTTGTCTATACCCTACACTTACGACTGAATTATGACAACTTCAGGTGTGTTTAATTGAATAAGAAATATTTAAATCTCATATTCTGTGATCACAATCCATTGAAGTACAATATAACCTTGCATTTTTTTAAAATAACTGTTGATACATGATCCTTTAGTGTAAATGTAGATTAATTACTAATTAATTTTAAATTATGAAACAGGACGAGAAATTTAAATTGTTGACTAATATTCTCATGCCTCAAAAACAGTTTTTACATTGTATATGATTTTCATATATTTGTATTTATTGTAATTGTGTACTACGAAATTATTAATAACGTTTAATTTGCCACACCCATAGAATTCTGCCAAAACATGTCAGACGTAGCTAACATTTCATTAATTAGGTTAAAATACGGAGCTATATCAGATGATTTTTAAAGTTGATTGATTTTGCATCTTTAGATAAGGGACCAGGAGGCGGGATAGCTCAGCCAGTATAGCGACAGGCTACGTGCTGGGCGGCCTGCTCCACAGCGTTCAGACCGGCTCTGGGGCCTTCCCAGTCTCCTATCCAATGGGTATCAGCGTCTCTTTCCCCGGGGAAGGTAAAGCGGCAGGGGCGTGAAGCTGACAACTGACCTCCATCTATTTTTTTTTCCTTGGCACCACAGCCCCAGTGGGCCTAGGCCTACCTCCATGAACTTCTCCATTCACTTCGGTTTTTCTAAATGTTACACATTCGGTAGGGCTCCTTGGGCGGGTGATCAGCTCGTCGCAAGGCCTCTACCTGTACACAAACACAGAAAAACGTACACACACAAAATAAACATCCATGCCCTGAGTGGGATTCGAAACCACGATCCCGGTTTCCAAGCAAGCGAAGACAGTACATGCCTTAGACCGCTCGGCTACCGTAATCGGCACTCCATCTAATACTGATGTTGAAAACGGTGGAGCTATAACTCCGCTTCCTCATATGTCTCATGGTACAGCGCTTAACTAAATAAGCACAGAGACAAATATACCTTCTAGGTACAGGGGATGGAACGTAGAACACTCTGAAGTGAATGGTGATAATTTAATTCAGTCTTTAGGTTCCATAAGAACTGAACAGTTTGTGTTACATTCCCGTTACATCAGAGGCTCTCTTTTGTTTGTGTGTCTGCAGACCCAGATGATGGAACCGTTCCGACAGCGGCAGACAGAGGACGGCGCGCGATACAACAACCTGCTGAACCAGCAGCGCAATCAGGAGCTCCTAGTGCGGCGAAAGTGGCGCCATCTCAAACAGTTCTTCATCGGGCCGCGAGGAGCGTGGCGGTCAAGGTAGGACGTTCTGCATTATCAAATTCTCTGACTTTGCATGTGCGTGTGTAACTCACTGTTACACGTAGTACCTACTGTACGCACACCACCGTTCCGACCTTCCTACCCCATTCTCCGACCCCTCCCCCCATTCCACGAAAATAGACTAGGATTGGTTTTAATATACCAGTTTAATTCATACTATAATAATGTCACGCATAAGAGGTAGCGTGACTAATAATTGTGGGTTCTATATTTAATGATTGGATTTATATGATGTCTCTGTTACTTGAACTCCTTGATAACGAATCTCTCACTGCATTTCTTCTGGTTCTCGGGCCGGTCTCAAGCTCAGTACGGCCTACCCGAACTCTCAATCCGGATCTCTGAATCTCGGACTGAACTAACTTCATGCGGACCGAATATAGATCACCACCTCCAAGGGTTCGGTTCTGCTGTTCATGTCTGCGTTGTCCCGGATACGCCTGTAATACCGTGGTAACCAAATCCGCTGCCCAGCAACGGACATGTATTCTCGTAACGCCCGGGAACCTGTTTAGCTACCCGTTCTCTAGCAATGGACGCCTCCTCTGACTTCACTATTCCGGCTTTCAGGCGTCGTGTCACAAACAGACTTACCTACATTAATTTTAATTCAATTACGATTTCTTGTATCATATTATGAGGAATGGTTTACACATTTAAGTTGTCCTCGTCCACCAACGAAGATACACTTTAGCGGGTATGAATGTGTCACGTGATCTATTTATGTCACACCCGCTCCCCCCCTCCTCCCCTTAGATCCCCACCATCTTATTGCTCTCGACCTACAGTTATGCCCTTCAGATCCATTCATTCATCAATGCTTGTACAGCCCTTTGTTGGGCCCTCACCCCTTTTTCAGTTTCTTAATCTCATACAGAGTCGGTAGGACTTTTTGGACCGGGTGATCGCAAGCCGATACTTACACACAGGACAGCACAAACGCACATAAACATCCATGTCTCAAGTTGGATTCGAACCCACGACCCCATTGTTCGAGCCATCAGAGCCATTTCCCTTATACGAGTGCATTTAAGGGACCCTGCCGCCGAGGGGTGAAGGAACGAATGTGGAGATCTAGCGCAGGATGCCCTCTACTATGAATGGCAGCCTCGATGTCGCATTGGCGCCGGTTCAGAAACAGTCCTTTGGACAGGCTTGAGTGGATGGGGCCTTGCTGCTTGCACCGTGTAGCGGAGGTCACAAAGCGCAGGGGTTCTGGTTTGCCTTGCCTCTGTTTTGTTTTTCTTCATCTTATATATGGAATATGGTCACACCGGTGACTCGCGTACTCACATTCCTTTGAGTCTGGTGTGACAAACAGATTGCTAACGGTAGGGATCCTTACTTCAGGACAGATTAAGGGCCGTGCCATAGCTTCCCACCGCTGCTACCCGGGTCACATCATGTGAGATTTGTGGTGGACAATGTGACACTGGGGTGGGTTTTCTCTTAGTACTTCGATTTCCCTTGCCAGTTAGGCCAGTTAGGCCAGTTAGGCCAGTTAGTGGCCGACGTACCAATTTGACTCGGCCCCACCCTACCACAAGCAACTAAAGGAAAATGGACTACCGAGTTTCGCAGGCCGACAGGTAGCAGCCGTTTCCTGCATAGGTTTCTCATTTTTTTTTACC